AGGATGGAACATTCAAGAAGTGTGAACAAATGGCACAAAATGTCACAAGAAACCCTGCATCAAATGGAGACCCCACGACACTTTGACTGTGTGCGTGCTTTTCATGTTTTTGCGACATTCCCATCTCAGGTGGTGGAAATGATTCAGAATCTGTCGGTGTGAATCTCATGCGAGAAGCGCTCCTGGTAGGTGAACTTGCCCCCTGACTCTGCACCAAAGACATCTGGCAGGGAAGAGCCCATCAAGCAAGGAAACCTCACTCTTGCCGCAACCGTTCGTCTTAAAGTAACTAAATAACAAGGTTTGAGTGAACCACTTAAGGGCATGCCTTTAATTAAGTAGAATTACACAGGCATAGACCGCATGCTGGTGCAGGTGCTGTGTGCTGGTGCCGGTGCTGGATACTGATCGACTGTGTTTGGGGACTTTGCTTACAGTCCCACGACTTGGCGGCAGACATTCCGCTCTGTCATGGCATTGAGTATTAATAATGGCAAACGTGCTAGCGATGTGTCAAACATGGCTAAACGATGCTAAACGGCTAAACGTGCTAGCGGGATCTAGCGGGAGTATAATGGCAACAATGAAGCAGCAATGTGTCAATGACTTGCAAAATTAAAGTTTTTGCGCCGATGTGCGTGGAAAACGGCTACTGCACTGCAAACACTTGGAAGGTGAACAATGCCCTTGGCACCGCTCATTGACAGCGAAAGCTATTGGACATTGGGATTTTTTCCCTCAGGCACTACAGTATGAGCTTTTTCCCTATACCTGCACCAGCACCAGCACCCGCACAAGCACCTGCACCCAGAAAACGCACCCGCACCAGCACCCACACCAGCACCTGCACCAGCACCCAAGAAGACGCCGATCCAGCACCAGCACCAGCACCCGCACCAGCACGCCCCAAGCAAACGCCGATCCAGCACCAGCACCAGCACAGGAAAACGAAACGCCGATCCAAAGCCTTGAGAAGTAAGAACCCCTATGGCCCCTATAGCTTGCAGCTATCTGGGGAAAAAGTTCGACTGTGGTGTTGAGGGTTGGAATATGACAAAGAGTTGAAGACTCTCTGTTCGGTGGTCTTTCGACCAGACCACGGTGCGCTGTCGGCCGTTCCAGCGGGACACCTTGTGCCCCTTTCCACACCAACCGCGATACGGCCGCGTACCGAGGAGCAAGAGGTCCACCACATCGCGGCTGGACAACTTCAACTGCTGTGCCCCGCCGGGGATCAGCACCTCGGGGAGCACCACTCCAGCGTCGGCTTCGGAAGAGCCGATTTTCTTGTTTGGTCCGTCCAAATGGGGGGGGAAGCCCGGAGGGACCTGCGCAAATCATGTCATCAAGCATCCATGGAAGCTGCTTTCCAACGCGTGGACGAGACCAAGATGTGCTGTTCAAGTTCAGCCACTGGGCCCGTGCCATCTTGCAGCTCTCCTGCTACTTGAAGCAGCTGCTCCACATCAAAGAGGATGGTGCCTGGGCCTGAAATCAGAAATGCAAAGCAATGAACAGCAACAGTCAAGGGGCGAACAGGCTACTTTCAACCTTAAGGAGCTAGGTGAACTGCTCTCTGAATTACGGGAACCACCATGACACCATGCTGCTTCACTTGTACAGTTTCTCGCGCTGACTCCGTAGTAGGGGGCCCCATCTGCTGGTCTCAAGCCACATGCTACCGCAAGTCGTGTTGATAAATTGATACACCCTCCCCAGGTGCTGTGCGGTGCAGGATGCACAACTGCCCTTTCACTGATCAATGACTTCATCGTTTGAATCCGGGGCTAAGAAACCAGCAAGAGAAACAACATGAAAACACCTCTTGCTTGGGACGCTGGGACGCATGGTGACGCGTGGTCTGCGGCGCCTTTCAAAGGCCATGCTCCCATCTGCTGAGACACCACCTGCGGCCACAGGGGGGCCGAAGCTCCTGAGCGTCCGCGGAGCAAAACACGCTCCGCCGAAACGTACCATGTCTGGCTCCATGAAATGACTAAAAGTAATTGGATTGTTATGATCAAATAGTTCGAGGTCAAGCCAAAAATCGTAGGATTAAACTGTAGAACCCCTTTCTTCCTTCAGCACTGCAAACCGGTCCCTTTCCGCTAAACCAACGCGGTCGACCAGGAACGAAAGCTGGGCGCCGTCTCTCGCTGTGGGCAGAGCGCCGCCAGGACGTCGGCGTCCGACATCTCCAACGCGACGTGCGCGTCGGGGTCTTCCCACCTCGCGACGCGTCGGTCTTCCCCGGTGGAGCGTCTTCTCCGGTGGAGTGTCTGGGAAAGAGGTTGGAAGAGGGTGTTTTTGAAGAAAGGGCCCCAACCTGTGACTGAACCAAAAGTCTCAAGAAAAAGACAAGAACAAGCCCAAGAGTCTATGCCATCTATTGCTTTGGGTCTATTGCCCAAAACAGTGCCCCAGACAAACATGAAGTCGGAAGGATTCACCACGGGTTTGTCTCAATTCGTGGGAAGCCCCTTCGTGGTGCGGTTTCTGTGCTTTGGTGGGGATCAAGAGGCTTGAAGGAATGAAGGAATGGAGTGAGTCATTGTATAACTATAACCCTCTTAGTTTTCCTGATTCCTGGAAAATTAACTTATAATAACCAACCGTTCTCCATAAAAGGTTTTAAAAGGTTAAGGGTTTAAACGGTTTAGGGCTTAGGTAGGTTAACATAGATCCTCTAAGATAGAGACCTGCCACGCAGGTTGCGTGCCGCATGTTGACCTGGGCAAAGAGTCGAGGCGACAGAAACAAAGGCAACTTGTTACTAGTAGCTTCTTGCTACTTAGTAGCGATGGCCTCCACCTAGTAGCTTCTTGCTACTGGTACTCAAGGGCGTTCAGCACATTTGTGCTGTTCAACGTCCCGAGACCTGGAGATCCATCGATGGTGGCGCGGACCATCAGGATGACCATTTCCGAATGCCAAACAATTGTCCACTTCCATCTTAGTGACTCTGAGCATATATTACAGCCGGGACTGCCGAGCTTGCCAACTGCCCTTCACTGAAATCATTCCGACCCATCCCTTTGATTCAAAACAAGATTCTTATTGGCTCCCGTAGGTTTCAGTCTGACCGGAGTCCAGCTTTGGTCCTCTCCAACCTGAAAGGTTCCGCCCGATGCACCATGCAGGCTCAGCAGTTTCTCCCGACCTTCTTAGGCACGAAACTCTCCCCGACAAGCCATGACTTGACACAACTGCATGGGTAACTCCCAAACATAGGATCTTATGAGTTAAAAAGCAAATGATGATGATGATGATGATGATGATGATGATGATGATGATGATGATGATGATGATGATGAAATGCAAGGAGACAGTAGCAAGTTCAAGCTTCTGGAAACTGCCAACACCATACAATACCATGAAATTTGTCAGGTGTGGTGAACATGCTACGTATGGCTTAAGACGCTATATATGATCACTAGCCACTAGTGGAGGTTGACGGTGTTATACTTATACCTTTCCAAATTCCACCTTTGCAAGCATCTTGTCAGATGCAACGAATCTCCCTCGAAGCATGTCCAACATCCAACCGCTCTGCACCAAAGCAGGTTCATCTGAAGCATCCACCAAAACAAATAGCAAGAGCGACCCACCCCTGCCCTCGAACCCCTCTTGCTGAGGCAAGTTCAGTAAGAGTGCAATGCCTTCTCTGTTGGCATAAATATGAAGGTCAAAATGGTCAATAGATCCCAACCCCAACCCTGTCCCTGGAGAACCATATCTTCGTAGCAAGAAGATGCAATTCTTTGCACCGGGAAACGCATTGCGTCATCACACACAGGAATCAACACTGCCAGAAACAACAGTCTTGCAGTTAACAGTCTTCCAATTTGCCCAATAAGGTTTTGGAATAGCTTTGACCCACCATGGTTTTAACCCATTATTGTATTGCTCAACATTCTGATTCTCAGCTCCGCCTCACCCCTGATCACATCTGATTCTCGGCCGCGATCTCCACGCTGCAGCATGACGACTTTCAACTTCTGGGAATCCTGCGGCGGATGTTACAACAAGTAAATGGATCATCAAAATCGCTCTGCCACTGGATCATCAATGTAGATCTCACACATATCCCAAGATCCCCTAGGTACTGCCGAATCCCCTGGCGCGAATTTGCCCAAGCGAAAACAACCGCGTGGCCAAAACCTGCCGCGTGGACACCACCCTCAACCGCCGACTGTCCAGTTCCAAGATCGGCGCGGCCCTACGAGCCATCCGCCGCCGGCTCCGGCGCAGAAGGGCCAACAGGCCCAAGGGCCAAAGCCTCTCCTCGTGGCCATCGAATCTGAAGCAGAACAGGAGAAAGATCAAAAGAGAATCCGGATCCTTCATGTATAGAATCGGATCCTGTTAGAACATGATTTGGGGTTTCGTGTGCCGAAAACTCGATCTTTCCCCGGGTCTCCCACTACCTGTCCATTGTTCGCCGAAAGGCCGCGGCATGTTGCACAGCAGCTCTCCGCTGCCAGCCGCCTTCACCGAAGTGCTCCACGTGCCGCACGGTCACCGCGGGCGGGGAGGGCCCGCTGCGCGGACGATGCGGGCGAAGAGTGTCCAGCGCCAGCGCTGGCGAAGGGCTGTTCATGGGAAACATTCCGGCAGAGCTTCGACAGAGCTGATCCTTTGATCTTGGAGCTTGATTTCTTCATACGAAAAAAGGTGAGGTGTCAAAGCAACTGTTCGCGTTTCCAACGGGCTGGGGGATAAAAACAACGAGTCTTGCAAGAATTGCCAGTGGTAGGGCCATGATTGGCGGCATCTGACGGCCTAGTATATCCTGGTAACATGCTTAGCCTGCGGTTGGAGTCATGCTATTCTGCTGAGGATATGTCAGTTCTTACCCATCCAAGATACTCTCTGTTGAGTACAGTTGAGAGTAAATTCTCAAAGCTAGACTAAGCTCAAGCCAAAGTGGAGCCAACTGCGAGCTATAGTACATGCCCACTGCTTCTTCAAGGTCCAATGCAGAGCATCTTGATCACGGCCTCTCGATCACGGTCCATACGGTCCTCACCTGCAAAGCGTCACCGCTGTTTGACCAGAAAGGTGAAGAAAGCTGAGGCCGGAACCATCCGTAATGCCGAAGGCTTTCTCCATCCGGGCATCCTGGCAGGAGATCCTCTTCCACACATGATCGAGTGAATCAAACCTTCCAACCTCACGCGCTTGAGTTCTTCAGAGTATATCTGAAGACCGTATACCGTATAACAATATAGTACATAATTAGTGTATTAAATACAAAATAAACAACAATAAGTATATAAACAAAATTAAATAAACATAAATAAACAATACACAAACAATCTCTCTGCACCGCCAAAAAACGCCTTGGCTCGTGCTCTGATCGCTCATCAGGCGGGCCCGAGCCGGCCCGAGCCGGGCCTGCTCGGCGTGGTCCGGATCGATCCACGGATCGGTCAGCTCGCCTCGTGCCATCGACTCGGACGTGGCGAGTTCTCAGACATATCGACGCTTCCGGACGAATCGAACTTCGGACGGGGGGGGCGTGATGTTCTTGGAAGCGAAGAAAACACATCTTCTCGGCCCCTGCCTATCTGCAAAACTTCATCGTCATAATCCATCTCCAAAGCATGTTGGCTCATGTCAAGCTGTGCGTCGGCTTCCACCAGCAAGGGAGCTGGAATGTCTTCCACTTCTTGTGGCACAGCCAGTTCGACCCTGAGGTCGCTTGCACTCCCATCCAATCCATCCACGCCACTCAGCATGGTCGTTCCCATGGCGTCGTCGTTCTCATCGGGTGGCACCTCGTCGTCCGAGACCGGATCCAAGTCATCGAGGTCCACGTGCGACGCGGGCAGCGTCATTGGGAGATGCTCGTCACCACGTTACCCGGAGAAGGACGAGAAGCTGCAAAGCTGCAGGAACATGGCATCGAGGCCCGAGATAGCGATGTGTGTGTGTGTGTGTCGGGATTCTCTGACAGTGATCCTGCTTGTGCTATATATCTGTCGATGTGCGACGAAACCGTGAACTCGATGGCGAGGTCAGACCTTTCTTTTTCTGTGGTGCAAATTCAATGGCGTCTCTTTTCGATTCACCATGGGCTGGAGCGTGTTTTGGGCACTGTCTGCATATGTTTACTATCCGTCCACGTGGCTTCGTGCCAAAAAGTGTTTGTTTCTGCATTGACAAGGTCATGTCGGGGCCTTCAGCACCACATATGATTGAACGCTCATGCTGTGGGCCACGCCGCAAAAGCATGCATGCTAGCATGCCCAAGAACTGGAATGGCCGGCCACAAACTATGTTGACTCTACTTGCAAATCGAGAATTTACAGTATCTTGATGTATCTTGCTGATTCCTGGTGAGACTCAACTTGGAGCCAATGAAACCGGTCAAGTAGCTACGCCAAGAGTCTTGATCTCACATTCTTCTCATGCCGGAGCTGAAATCAATCTTGAAAGTCCTCTCAATCGCATTGCAGGTGTGTTTCTGCAGCTGTTGGGCGCTGGCGCGGTCACATCCTTTGGATGGGACCATGACCTGTGGTGACTAGCCCTTCAAGGGTTGGGTCAACACTGTGGATCTTCACACCCACAAACTATCGGTGCACGCCAAAAAACCGCCATGGCCGACATGGACGGTCTCTGAATGAATTGGACCAGAAAAAAACACGAGTCGAAGACTGAGTCGAGCGCTCCATGAGTCCAACGCGCTCCATGAGTCTTGGAGTCGAACCGCGGCAGCGGATGTCGCCGCCGCTGCCGCTGCCGCTCGGGGATGCCGCTACGATTTCACTCCAAGTCGCCTGCGGCTCGTTGGAGCTCTGTAGGCAAGGGGAACTCATAAAGCTCCGTCTGGCGGTTTCGCACACCTAAAGCAAAGAGTCGTCCCCCTCCTCCACTCAGAGTCAACCATTCAATGCGCTGCAACTCAATGTCCGTGGGCAAACGCCACTCTCCTTTGTTGGTTCCCTGAACAGCATCGAAGGCCTGGACAGAGCTTGTTTCACGGCGCAGGACCATGACATAGCCCTTGGATGAGAAGTGCAGTGAGCCCGCACGAAGCGCCTTGTTCCGCTGCTCCAGCGGAAGTTCGGGCACCAGGGTATGCATCTTCACGTGGCTTTCACGAAGCTCAACCACACGGCCTTCCGACGTACCAGCCACCACACAACCTACGCCGATCTCACGGAAGTCACCCATCATGCATTCGCTCTTGGCAGCGAGAGCCTTGATGCGTTCCATGCCTTCTCCTCTCTTGGCATGGTGAAGCCATTTGTCTTGGATCTGCCACTCTTCTGGCTCTGAGCTAGGCAAGGCTGCAACTCGTGTCTGAATAGCTGAGTCCGAAAAGCTTCTGAATGTTTCTTGCAGTGGACACTCTGCCAGCAGGCGGCCCTTTGCATGCAGAACCAGCACTCTGCAATGAGACTCAGCCTCACTGGCCACACCAGCCGTCCCTGCATGCCCGCAGGCCACACTGACATCCTGTACTGCTTGGCCTTCCAAAGCAACACATGGCGGCACCTGATCAAAGGTCACCTTCGTGGTGTCATCGACACCCTCAACTCGACCAGCATAAACTGCAAGATCATCTGCCACGACCAACAACGATCCTGATGGATCGCAGCTCAAAGTTCGAGGTCTGAGAGCCACTGAAGGCCACTGCACTTCAACGCGTCGTCCCTTCAGCAACGAATGCAGGTCCTTGCGATGCCGGGAAATCGGGATCAATTCCGGCAGACCATTCGGGCTGGTGCCCACCACCGCCTCGATTTCCTCTTCCCCCTTCTCGGTCCCCACCGTGAGGTCGATCTTCAAAGGCTTGGTCAGGAACTCTCGAAAGACGCCAAAGGGAACCGCCAAGCCGATGACCCACAGCAAGACCATCAGCAGGGTGGCTGTTCGGAAGATTTGCGCGGGATACTTCCCGGAGTCGATCTTGTCGTGCCCGCTCACAATGTCCTCGTCGCCCTTCATGAAGCTTGCATGGCCAAAGTCTGCATCTTTGCTTGACATTTCTCCGGAAGGGTTTTGCAAGCCTTCCCTGCAGGAGGCAAGATTGAATTCCTCCTCCTCAGATTCATCTTCGACTTCAAGAATTCCTGCATTCACTGCTGTTACCACAGGTGTGATCACATGTTGCTTTGCGTGATGAAGGATTCGACTTGGTGTTGACTGGAGCGCCTCAGGTGGAAGAAGGGGTGCCCTTTCTTGCTTTCGATGCACACAATACTCTTCGATTTTTGCATCAAATTCTGTCATGGTGCGCACCTTTTGTCCACGTCCATTTGTATTTCTCTTGGACCCTCCACTTGCCCCTGTTGACGGTGCCCCTGCATTCACGTTCACATCAGCCTGCTCCTCCTCCTTATCCTCTGACTCAAATGGCCTTGCTTCTCCACTCTTTGGATTGTAAAGGTATTCGACTTCGGTGCCAAAATCTGTGTACCCTTTCATCAGCACGAAGTTCTCCTCATCCAGAGATGGTGCTGAAATTGCTGAAATGTTTGATCCCGTCATCTTCTCCTTGGTGGCTTTTCTGGCTCGATCAACTAATCGGTCTGCACGATGCCGATCCACATCGTCCATGGCCCCTTTGACTGACTCAGACTGGAAGAGTTTCATGTTCGCTTGAATTTCTCGCTTCAACTCCCAAAGGTTTCTACTTTGTTCTCTCATGCTTGAATCGCTCGACCTTTGACGGGAAGGCCGGGCAACACCGGGCCCTTTGTGGTGTTTCAGCACACCGAAGACATCCATGTAGAGCACTGCCCGAAATTTTTGGGGCAGGATCACTCCTGTCTTGGGCTGCATTTCCAGGCCACAAGCGACCAGGGCAAAAAAGAGCCACAGTCCATGAGCAGCATAGGTCAATGGAAGAAGGAATGCAAGAACCAGCCTCGCGTGAACTTCGAACACTGACCAAGTGTATGTCGCTGTACCAGCACATAAAGGTCCAGCGACGATCAAGATTCGCGCCCATGCTGTCTCCTGACATTGATGCTGTGAAGAAAAGATGCTGAAAAAGAGGGATGCATCAAAAATGCTTTTTGGGCAAAGAGGGGCAGTGGGGATACTCTCAGCCATGTCATGCCATGACGCCAAATGGCATTGGAACAAGCTCAACTGAAAGAAACATTGTAAATTCCAAGTGTATAATATCAGAATCCAGACTGTTCCGCAGCGAATCATGGGCTGTTTACCCGAAAGAAAGATCAACAAAGAACCCGAGCTACGGTCTCCTTGGGACTCATCTCAAAGTCAAGCTGAACCAAAGAAATGGTCATCACACACATCAGAATCAGAACTCCAACAGAAGCCCAAGGGGAGCCATCTTGCAACGCCACGTAGCCAAGGCAATAGTAGCAAATGGCTTGCATGAGCTGGTGCGTGCCAAAGGCCATCGACACCCGCGCAAATGAGTCATAGCCTTGGATTTGCTTCAGAACCTGGAAAACACAGCTGTTCTAATACAATGCACCAGTCAACAAGAAAACAATGGACAAACCACATAAGTAAGCTTGCTTGCTTGTTCACCAGGTCGCTCTGAAACTGTCGGGCAGCACGCCTCGCCAATTGCACATGCCGCCGGCGGAGAGCCGGCATCTGCTGCAGCTCATATAAATCCCTATCCTCCACGTTTTCCTCCAATCTCCAGGGGTCAATGGGCCCGAAATTCCCTGCAGACCAGGACGACACATCGCCGGCTCGTCCGGACCGATGCGGCGCCGCAGTGGGCGACGTGGAGTCCTTGGTGCTGGGGTTCCGGGTGAAGGGAACTCGCAGCATGTCCTTGGCATCCAACTTCTCATAGTTACACGCAAAGGTTCGCATGTTCTGAAGAGCCTGCCAGGTGGGAATCGGAAGCCGCACAAACTGCGTGAGAAGCCGCACAGCCGAGCACTGGGCGACAATGGAAGCATGAACTGCCAGCCACACAGACATGAGCAAATACATAAAGGCTGCAGAAAGGGTCAGCATGTAGTAATGGATCAGGAAGGGCGGGGTGCCGGGCTGCAGGCGCCCTTCAGTGTAGAGGCCGAGACACATTCCCAGCAGAAGGGTGGACACAATCAAATAACTATCCATCTTCCGTTGAGTCAGGCCGATGATGTCTCGGACATCGTCTCTCCACAACTCAGACTGTGAAGCACGCCATTCCAAGATCTTCAGCTCGGTCTCTTGACGCATCTTGCGGTCGTAGAGGAAATTGTCTCGATTGTACTCCCATAGCGCGTGAGCTCCTGCTGCAGCTCCAGCCACAGCTTCTGCTAACACCATGGCTGAACAAGGCTAGGTTGGATATGGTTTGTTGTCCAAATGCACAATGGAAAAGGCCAAGCATGTGCTGCCGCTGTGCTATAAACCACACGTCTGTGGAACATGCAATGAAGTCTTGGTGCGTTAACAATATCAGCATCACCCCACCCCACACCGGCAGAGAGCTGTTGCGGCGAATCACGATCCATACAAGGGGGCATGTGACGATTGCAACTGCACCAACGTACACCTGAATGCACCAAGCAGCGTACTCTTTTTCTGCACCTAAGCCGCGAAAAACGACTTTTAGACCTTGGTGCTCGAACAGTGAAGCTGATTTGAGTCTCAGAACAAATTCTGCCACTGCACCAACAAAATCCAACAAATAAATTCAATCACTTCAGCTTCTTGGATGCTCTCGAGCCAAAGCACTTCGTCTTTCCATGTCTGAAAGAAGTGCGTCGCGAGCGCTTCTGTATCCTCGGAAAGACTTCATGGTGAATTTGAGAGTAAGGGAGGACTGTCGAGTGTAACGAACAGCAAGACAACGCAGGAAACCCACATTACGATGCAAAATTGTAGGATTCACCCACAGTCAGCTCATTGTTTTCCTGGCTTGATCTTGGTGTCCCCTTATGGATGAAGACGTGCATGCCCAGCTGTTCTCCATGTCGCAAGTCACCCAACCCCAAGGCGTCGTCCTTCTGTGGAATCACACGAATGTTCTTGGCACCAGTGGCCAGGCCCGTCAAAGCCAAAGCATCCTCAAGACACCAACAGTTTTAGTTGGTTTCATCCTGCTCAACGTGTCTGTCTTTCTCAAAGTCGTGAGTTCAGAACCCCAAATCGCTGGAGACGTGACTGCTGCTGGTCCCACTGCCAAAAACTGGCCTGGACTTGCTTCTGGATATTCTCCCCACAAACCTGGACGAGTTTGTTGGGCGCAGAACAGCTGGTCTTTCTCCCAAAGATCCTCTTCTCATCAAGAGGAGTTCCAAAAAATCAAAGCTGTGCGCTGCCACAACAATCAAACGAAACCACCCAACAACTTTCATACTCCTTGTCCAAGAACAAATCTAACCGTCTAACCTTAAAACGCTGATCCCACCCATCTCTTGCCGCCACCTCCCTCGCGTCCCTGGTGACCGGGGCGGCCTGGATGCCGGTGATCTCCTCCCCTTTACATCGCCCCAGCAACTTGGGCTCTTTGGCCCAAGTGAAGAGCGTTTTCAGCTGGTCATCCTGACGGTCTGAGACGGGGTTCGCGGAGCGGATCCGATGAATCCGACTGTGGGGAAGCGGCGGAAAGATATGATTGGGAGGAAAAAAAAGATCTCTATTTCTGGTCGAGGAATTCATTCATCCTACATTTAATCCTACATCCTACATCTCTGAAGCCAGATGTTCTCTGAACACATCGAACTTCACAAAATGTGTGCCAGTCGTTAACCCATACTGTACCCGTACCCACCAGGGCCCGTGTGTCAACACCTCCCAACGCCTTCGCTCTCTCCGCGCCTGTAGACGTACGACCCGCGTCCGGGCGATGGCCCACTTTGAGGCCAAGGACTTGGAAAGGAACGCCTCGTCGGATGGGTCGGACGTCGGACGTCCCGGTGGCGAACGGTCAACCGGGTGAAAGTACGGCCACAGAGTGGCCAACCCCGTTGGGCCTGGTGGAACCATGTGATGAACATGGAACGCTGATGCCATGTCAACACATGGGACAGCATGTCTTGCATGTCTTGCATGTCTATGACAAACACATGTCTTGCATGTCGTTGTGATTAGTGTTTTGCATGTCGCACATCTCCATCTCGGGCGCCTTTGGGAGTTCCGGTGTCGACAGCGTCGGACGTGTGACGACGTGTCTTTCGCAGCGTGCGGCAATGGCCAAAAACTGGATAAATGGACCAGTGAAGAGCTACCCTGAGTTTTTGTTGCAATCAAACTGTTTTGGATGTCCAGTGGTCTTTGGGTTATGGGTCTTTTCATGAATTGGTGGATGGTTAATGATGGTTACAATGGATGGATCAGTGGGGCTGCAAGTGTATCCAATCAAAACTCTTTGGACAAAGTGTGATAGTCTTTGGGTGGGTGCGTAGATGGAAGTCTTTTGAATTGGTGAATGAGTGCTTATTCATGCGGCACAAGAACTGGTTGGGGTGATCTGCGGCACAAATTCGCCCAAAAAACGCCCGCCTCGATGAAAGCCTCTGAGTCTGGCATGAAAACGATGAAGCATGTCTCCTACATTCGTCCACAGTCTTTATATCATAGGCCTGCCCTTTTGATGTTTACAAACCAAAGGCAGAGTCTGAAACCATCCATGTTCCACGCCGAACAAGGCCGTGTTACACCAATTTGGTCCTGAACATGAAACCGTGGGTGAAAGCTCAGACTCAATACAGAGTTCCAGGAGACAGGGTAGCTGATCTCTAAACCCCTCACCTGTCAAGGCACCCAAGGTCATCCCCTCCTTCGAAGGCCATGGGCGGCTGCCCAAGGTCAAAGGCACCACACCTGACAGAATTATTTCACAGCTCGACATGCATCATGGCTTTAACGACACAAACTGGCAGACTTCATACACCAGTGACTGAGAGAAGCACCGCCCACCCAAATCCCCCCTCGAATGCTGGAAAAGAATGCGGGCGGCTTTGGAGCCACGGATGACTGAGACTCAAAAGCTCAGGGGACATTCAATAAAACTAGCAGTGTGGAGAACAAACATTGAAAACACTGCATGTAAATCCAGCAGGGCTGGCAATTATGTTGAATCCAAATTAGTAAAATTGGACGGAATAAAAAAAACGTGTTCGCCAAATTATTCATACACCCTGATTAGTTTAATGGGTCGGAATAAGTTTTTCACCCAGGGTGTTTTTTGTTTGTTTTGCTATTGCTGCCCTTTCAAACCCTTACTTAACTCTTCTGAGGTTTGCTGGTTTCATAGAACTCTGACCTGGAAACCTTTATCAAAAACTCGTTTTAAAACTCATCGATTTCATTGCACCAAACAATTTTTCAAGGGGGTAGTACACAAGCCCAGGGTAATTGAATAGTATGCATTGTTTAGGGGTTGGATTAATCAGCAAACTTGAAGGCCTAAGGAAAAGAACCATGTTTATTATTGTTCTGCTATTGCGGCCCTTTCAAACCATTATATACTTAACTCTGGTACTACTACTACTACTACTACTACTACTACTAATAAAAATACTACTACTACTAATACTAATACTACTACGACTACTACTACTACGACTACTACTACCACTACCACTACCACTATTACTACTACTACTACTACTACTGCTCCTACTCCTACTCCTACTCCTACTCCTCCTCCTCCTCCTACTCCGACTCCCACTACCACTACCACTACCACTACGACTACGACTACTACCACTACGACTACTACTACTACTACTGCTGCTACTACCACTTTTTGCGGCGGTGATACTCTTCAGACCCCCTGGATTGTTTGCTAGGGGGAGGTTTTTTGCTATATAATTAAGATCCAACATTAGGTATCTCATACCTGTCTTGGGGAAGCCTCCCTGTTTTACCCTGTGTCACTCACCCCCATCTCAGAACGGTGTTTCCCCGGCGATGAGGGGTGACGAAAGCATCTTTGAGACATCTGAGGCACTCTCGTTTTCCAGCTCTTCGGGCGTGATCACTCCAGCCGCTTCCACATTCAGCAGTCGCCCTGCTTCCTGATGCGACACGGATTCCCGATTCACACGGAGTGGTTTTCCTTATGCCCGCAAGCCACAGATAGCCACAGCAATTGATTGCAATGGTGTTGGCTATTCGTTTGCTTTTTGACCCTACGCTCCTTTGTACGAGACATACACTACCATTGAAATTCGAGCACTTGCTTGTGCAAGTTATCTTTCTTCCACCTTTGATTATAGCCTTTGTTTGCAAACCTCCCAAACGTCAGCAAAGGGTCCTCTTGTGGCAACAAACTCCAATTGGGCTTCTCTTCGTTCTTGTTGAAATCCTCAAACATCCCCGGAGGGGAGCAAAACCACTCTCCGATCCAGCATCTATTCCAACGACGCAGGCCATGAATCAAAGCAAGGAGCAAGGTTGTGTGTGTGCTTGCTTGTTTGATGTTGTTCTTTCTGTTTCTTTTGGTTTTTGCTTGTCTTTTTTCCGACTCTGAAGCTGAGCTCCTCTCCACAATACCCGACATTGGCCCGGCCATGTATCAAAATAATCTCACCAAAAAAACCGCTGCAACTGCATCGGCACCGAAACCGCTGCAGATGCTGCGCCGAGTGTCATAGATCATCCACCACTTATTGTTCCATGGCTTTAAGCCAGCACTGGCCATTTGACCACGCAAGGAGAAGTAGTTGAAGTCAAAGCAAGCAAATTGCATCTTCTGACTGCTCTCGATGATGGGCTCTGTCCCACAGAACAAAGCAATGTTGCAGTCCTGGGTGAGAAGGAACGAGCCCAGGACTGCGATTCGAAAAAAAAATTAAAAAAAACATGAGAATGCCCTACCAAGAACAAAAGAAAAGAACATGCTTCCACATCCCAAAACCATCCGAAACCCATCAAGGTCTTCAACTGCAAACTGAGCTTCTTGACAATCTCGGCATCGGTATTGTTGACCTGTTGTCTTTTTTGTCTCGCGACCGACTCGTCAACAGACTCAAGGGCACGGCGCTGGTGAAAGGCCCAAATACCAAGCAAAGACAAAGAGCAAAGCCCCAAAAACGGTTGACCGTGGTCTCAGGTGCTGACATGCAATGACCAGGCCTGAAGTTGAAAAAAATAAACCTTTCAAAAGTCGACGCTCCAAGGCCCAGAAGAATCAAAACCCAAGGAACAGGAATAACATGCACCTCTTCCTGCTGAGGGGCTGCAATTGCTGCAGTTCCGAACGAAGACGCTCGTTTCGACTGGCCCAATGTAGATGCGACCTCGACTCAGTATCTCAAAGGCTCACTGTATTTTGCCAGCCTTACCTGCTGGGTAAGGCTGAGTGATCGCTTTAAAGCAAGACGATACTCATCTGATTTAGACACGGATGCGGAAGCAGGCTGGAGGTGCAAAAAGGCTGAAATGTGTTGAGCCTGATAGAACCTGATAGATTGCAATTTGCACAAATCCTTCCAACTGCACAGAAAATTCTTTATAAAGGGCTCGGAGCATGGCAGTCTTGGCAATCATCGACAAAGCTCGTGGCAATATAGTCCTCATGCGAAGAAAAAATACGACAGACCTCGTGTTTACACTAGTACAAGTACCAAGGGCATCGCTACGAGCGTAGCAAGGACGCTACGAACGTAGCTCCTGGTCTTACTACTAACTAGGAGCATTCTTGCATATTCTTGCTACATCTTGCTACCAGTAACTAGAAGTACATCAGTCCCTGCGAGTCGTAAACGACATCTATCCCGACGAGCCAATCCCAAAACGCCGGCGTGGAGAAATCACGGATGGTCATTGGCCGTGAAACGCCCTAACTTGACACGTCAGAACGCCAATTGATCTGAAGGTCCAACAAGAAGATATCGCAGTTTTTGCCTCAGCTGCAAAACAGCGGGAAACACAGTGCTTCGGGCCATGGAACAATCGCAAGCATCCAAGAAGCATTCTTCGATGTTGAACTGTTCGCCCGCTATGCTGCCTTCCTACGTGCCATCGACAGTACGACATGTTCCATTTCGTATGCCACTTCTACCTAGCTCAAGTATGCTCTAAGTATGCCGAAGTATGCTAAAGCTTTCTCAAAGCAAGAGTGTCTGTCAACATTCCACTCCTGCTTCACAAGCACCTCATCAATCTTCTTGGAAAAGGTGTAGTCCTGGGTCATAGGCCAGGGCTCTGGGAGAAGAGAGCAGCCCTGCACCCGTTCCGATCATGTCTCCATTCAGCTTAGCATCGGCTGGATTCAGCTTCTTCTTAGGCGGCGCCTCGGAATCGGCCGAAGAACGCTCCGTTCCGTTAACGTGAACCAAATAAATACGCATCTCACAGCGTTCCTCACTGCGTTTGCAAAACAGCAAAAGGACCGTAGGGTCCTATGACCCTCTCTTTGCACGTAGGACCCTATTGGTTAACGGTCCCAAAAGAATCAACCTCAACACGTCAGGACCCGTCTTGATCCTCACTTCGGAGTACTCCTGCACTCCTCACTTTGGTCTATGTCCACTCCCGCCATTCGGCTCGGTCCGAGCACCTGAGCCTTCTTCTTGGGCACCTTGCGCGCCCCTGGCGCACTCCGTGGCACACAGAAAGCCCCACGAGCCAATTTCGGTGGGGAGAGAAGAGCCAACAAAAAGAAGACGAAGTGTGTCGAATTGTGCTGGTGTAGTGGATTTGCTAACGTTTCAGCCTTTTGTCGTCGCTTGCCTTTGACTCCGACCGAGCATGTCCCATTCCACAGTGAAAAACCCGGCAGTTCATCTCGATTCGCCTAGTTGGTCTGAGAGACTGTTTTCTCAGGCAATCTATTTGGCCATGTCGGGCCTCAGTCGTGCCTCTCTCCCTCTCACCACAATACAGTTATAAAACTGTAGATATAAAGTAGATCCCCGTTTCTATCCACTTGGGGACCTATAAAATCAACAAACGTGTCATGAAGGAGCGGTGCCTTGTGCTCCCCCTTTGGATTCACATCCGCCCATGGCATCTCCGACCCACGTCCTATCTGCGTGTGGAACACATGTTCGGAATCACCTCGTCAGATGCTGCACCATCCCTGAGAAGAATAATTTTGATTACAGTCGTCACCCTTGAATCCATTGGCATTCTGAACGCTGTTCTGACCGCCGACATGGTGTTCCAACTTGGGGGAGTCATCTGGTTGCCACTGCCATTTCGTAGATGAGGAAAGGTGCAAACTGCAAACACACCTTGTGCGCCCAAGAAACGCAGAATCAGCTGTGGGGCGAACTGCTGGAAGCAGCGGAAGGGGCGGAAGTGGCTGCAAAAGAGCATGCAAAAAAGCTCTGGCGCAGGGTGAACTGTGCTGTGCACATCTCGAGCCCTTTCAGAGACCTTTTCACCAACTGCTATCAACTGCAATTGCACTGTAATTGCGCTGTCCGGCGATTGAGGTGAAACTGGATATTTATCTGTCCTCATCATGATCAGTCTCGATCAGTTCCATAGCTTCGTGGTGTTCTGCAAGTTTATCCAATATGGCACAATGAGCTCGGTATTGTTCATGTTGTCTAACAATTCAGCAATACACCTTCAACAATCCTTCAACAACTTGTTCTGGCCAACAATTGCGGAGATCAAACCAACAATTATATACATTTTCACTCCGGGGGTTGATGTATTTTAAGCTCATTCCTGGGATTCTGCTCTGCATCCACCTTAATTCCAGCACCAACAAAACTCTCCCACATCAAACAAAAAATAATGCTGAGGACTAAGGACACTGAGGACACGACTTGCGCATCTCTCCCAATACGACACGCATCGTCTCTCCTTCCGCCCGTCGGAAGAACAAGACCGTCCGTCCGTTTCGTCCGCCTGGCCGTGCGAGTCACGAGGGCTTGCCGGTGAGCTCCAGAAACCTGAAGACAAAAGCACCCACCGGACTCCAACCTAATAGCCATGGCCCACCAACCCAATAGCCATGGCCTCCAACCCAATAGCCGGACCGATCGTTCCCAGAGACCGTCGACGCGTCTGCCAACCACCAAACCACCGATGGCGTCTCCAAGGTCAGCGCTGGTCGTACGCAATCTTCGCATAACCCTGGCCGCTGCCGCTGCTAGCACGGGAAAGACAGAGAGAGAGAGAGAGAGATTTAAAAAAAAGACCCAAGTGACACGGTGTTTGGGTGTTTTTGGGTTTGGCGGTGTTTTGGTGTGTTTCTTCGCCCATCTTCGCCCATATTCGGGATGAATGAAGTTGGTCACACCTTGGCCAGCTCAGTGCCTCCTTCCAGCAACTTGGCGAGCAAGGAGCGAAAATGTTGGATGCATCCAGACAAAGAAAAGCAGATATGGTGAACACTAATAGTAATGCCAGGGTTTGCTTACTTGTTGCGTAAATGTGATTACTGAAAAAAAAGCAGGTTTGGGGGTATCAAAATGTGTCAAATCTCAGGATGTATGTAGTTTCAGCGAAGTAGAAACCGTACGTGCACACGTGGACATGTTGACAACAAAGCCATCCGCAGCACAGCTCTGAGGCGCAGGCATTGCAGCTTTGGGCCTCTACAAATTCCTGTCAGTCAGAAAAGCCTCCCTGCAAGCATGGAAATGGATGGCACCTTCTGTTTGATATTCGGCATTTCGTAGTCTTCCAAAGTGCCATGCCATCCACTTTCATGCTGGAGAGCAAGGGCATTTGTTTTGCTGCCGAATGAAATCAAAGAAGGCAGTGCGCGTAGCATGGAATCTCCTGCAGTCTCTTGATACCCAAGGTTTTCGGGTACACAAGGTAGAAAATCACCTCAAAGGTGCAAGGCATGCCACGGCCGGCCACGGCAACACGAAAGGACCTGCTCCGAGGACCTTGCTAGAAGTTGCGTCTCGTAGTAGATGTCTACGTAGAACGAGAGAACCTGGAAATAAGTCGTCCGCGATCGAGAAACAAACAGGTTTGTACTGTATTTGATGGTTCGTACCCTTGAGAAGAAGGTCTTGAAATCAAACTCAGCGAGCAAACCAAGGAAAAGGCATAGAAGGGTATGCAAAGGAGCCACTCAAAGTAGTACAGCGTGATGGACCTCAGTCTCTCACTCTGGCGCTCTTTGTTAAGACTTTGCCTTCCTGCCTCTTCTCATGTTCATTTTCCTTGGTTGTCTCAGGCCACCACGCTACACAATAGAGGCACCAGTAAAAGAGCCTGCCATTGGGGAAACAAAAAGATCTGCTAGGAATCACAGCAAAGTAGCTCCAAAAACCCAAGAGAGATAGAAAAAATACGGTTTCTTCAAACAAGAAAAACTGACCTAAAGATTCCATCTCCGCTGGCCGATCCCATAAGCTGGCCGATCAGACCACAGTTTTCGATCGGAACTTTCGTGTTGGAGTGCGTGCAGCGTCTGCACCTGGGCCGCTTTCGCGTCAACCGACCAATCCATCATCCAACCGGTGACCACCCTTCCGTCTGCACCACCTTTCGCGCCAACGTTTTGCCGCTCAGTTTCGGACCAAGGGAAACAAGATGGCCAGACATATCCACCTGAGCCACCGGGGTGACCGAACTGGTCTCTCCAAACGGTCTCCGGTTTCTCCGGTCGTCCTCGGATGACAAAGACAGCCTTCACTTGATACCTCGTTCTGGGTATGGGGCCGAGCCTGGTTTCGCAAAAGAATGCAAAAAATAACTGTAAAAGCACGAGTCTTCGCATCAGCTCGGCCATCGACAAGGGTAGTAACACCAAATAATAAGGCCTCGGTGCAAAGCAAACTGCTCATTCCATGTAGAAAGTCGCCATGGTGGTGAGTACCAGGCAGCATGTGGAAAATGCCGCAAATGCGCAGCAACCTAGATTATGTGCTTGAGCCTTCCAGGTGTGCTGAGGATTCTGAAGTCTTTTCGATCCGGCTGGGTTCAAACAACATGATTATGATTGAACACGCGTCTCAAAGCTGCGTACAGCAGACTTTTCGTCGTCTGGCTCACCTTCTTCCTTGAGATAACATGACCCAACTGGTCGGTCTTCAAGCCATTGCACCCAAAGTCACAGTCGTGCCCTTCAATCATGTATTTTTAAAGGTCTAGTGGCAGATTCTGCAAAGAATGACCTGTCACACCCAGGACAGATTTCTCCCCAAAAGCAAAGGAATCTTCTTTTGGTGACAAAGCTGTGCTGGCATGTTGTTCAATAACCGATAATTCGTATCAAATACAAGGGAGGAGACTTCAAGACATGGATGCTGGAACGAAAGCCCATGAGTTGCATCATAACTTCGCGGGAAAAACCCAGCAGCAAACAAAGCATACAGTTGCAAACTGCGTCATCATCAATAGGTTACTCTGTTACACAACAACCATGAAGAAATATAACATCAGATCTTGCAGCGGCACATATATAATATATATATATATACGTACATGCCAGGTGGAGGCTGCAGAGCCACTGCCGGCATGTATAAGAAAAAAAAGTTGGAGTGGCAGAATGCGTATAGCACGGAATCAAAGCGCCTGAACGAGGTACAATTGTGTTGACACAGAAGGCGTGCCAGAGCGTGTCTGAACTGTCAAGAAGATTCCATGGTTGTCTGACGCTGCATGTGTGTGTGTATCTAGAGGTGGAACGGGGACATAGAACTCTAGTGATGGGGTTTGCTGACAGTTCTCATGCAAGCAGTCCCAGGGTTATAGTAGGTTTCGTGAAACTTGCACTCAAGAGTTCGCCCTAGAAACCAAAAGGAAAGTAGACAAGAGGCTGGGAACCTCAACAATTTGGACAGACCAGCATCCAAAACTAAGAAAAACAACAAGTGCTACAACATATCATAGTAGCGTGCGTCGATGACAAACTTCCAGAATATGAGTGGTAGACAAAAAAATGACAAGACTTCTTGTCTGTCATCAGTGCCAAAAGTGTTTGTTGTTGGCCCCATATCGATTCTCTATGTTTCAATGTGTTGGACTCACTCTCTGATAGGGTAGCCCAAATCGGTTCTGCAGGGCTTGGCTCATTTCAATACCAGTACGGGCAGCCCATTACTAAAGTACATGTATATTAGGATTTTCGTCAAATGCTCATATGTAGGATACGACTCGAGTTGCTCTAGGGTTTTGAACCCGAACTCAACACACAGAGCCAAAATCCTTGAAAAAGTCAAAAACCAAAAAATATTCAAAAAACAAACAAATAGGCAAAACAAACCCACACTCAGGAGAACAGGTCTACTTAGGACAGGACTCAAAAAAACACAAAACAAGACTCAAATCCAGACTCAAACCCAGACTCAAATCAAGACTCTAAAAGACAGACTGACTCAAATCCAGGCTCAAATTCTCTGTTGCTGAGTCCGGATTTGTTTTTTTCCTCTGTTCAACCTTCTGCCATCGTGAAATTCCATGCGAGTCTTTTTTCTGATTTCTATATATTTCTATGCGGATTATTTGTTTAGTCTGGTGTTGGTTTCAAGTGCTTGAGATCCAGTTTGAATTTGGTCTTGAGTCACCTGCTGCTTTCTGGGGGCTAGGCTAGGGTGGGCTGGAACCTGCGTGTTCCCTCAGAAAAAACAAATCCAGACTCAAATCCAGAGTCAAACCCAAACTCAACTCCAGACTCAAAAACAGACTGACTCAAACCCAGACTCAAATCCAGACTCAAGTTCTCTGTTGCTGAGTCCGGATTTGTTGTTTTTCCCTCCGTTCAACCTTCTGCTACTTGAGTCTCCAGTTGAGTGTGCTTTTGTGTTTGGTCTTGAGTTCTGGTTTTGGGCTGAGTCTAGGTCTGTTTTGTTGTGTTTGTTTTTATTTTGAGTATTTTTTGTGTTTTTGATTTTTTCATCTCGAACCTCTTCTGTGTGTGTGTGTGTTCGGGGTCACAACTCTAGGGTCCTTCAGGCTGACTGTGCTTGCGAAATGCACCAAGGTCCATACGCAAGACAGCTTGTCGCTCTGCGCGCGTGCTTTTGATCGGAAGAACGAGCTGCTGCATGATTGACAAATCCTGCACGCACAGCCGGCTCGTTTTTTGACTTTATGGTACGCGCAGTGAAGGATGTCATTGACACGCGCTGAACTCTTTAGGTTTCAGCGGGTGAAACTGGAGCCATCAGGAAGCTCAGAAGTTTCCCTTTGAATCCTCGATCAAAAGATAAAACTCAGAGCATCAAAGGAAATAGGAATCGTTGCAACACGAAGCTTGACGAGGCACAGCGGGCCAGCGGGGCTTGCACCAGAAGTTCAAGCAATTCCGCGCAAAACCGTGGTCAAAGGGATTCCTGCACGCCAAATCACGCCAATATGTCTCACAAACCGCGCGTCTCCGGCGCGCAACGGCTGCAGTGGTTTTTATGATCCGACTGGGCGCTGTGCCTGTTCTTGTCATAAATGAACTCTCCACGGTCGAAAATCTCATTGAACCTCACGCATGGACTCGCTCTCACTTATCAGCGCTCGCAAAAATGCTATACGACAATGTGCAGACGGGACGCTCGTCATCCGACAGCTCCTCGACATAAACATTGTCGCCCTTACTGGTGTTGTTTGCCTTGCAGTTCAAATTTGGCCGCTAGACGCATGAACCTTGATTTCACATGAGGCGCATGCAATGTAGTGTTGGTTGCTCCTCCACTCTTGCGCCAACTCATTCCTGCGCTTCGTCAAGAAAATACCAAATTCATCAAGAATCTACGTGGGAGGGGCAGTGCCCTGCAACCGAAAAAAAACATTTGAATAGAGCCTGGAGATCAAGCCAAAATGAATCTTCATTATTGGCCTCAGTCTGGATCAGCACATTTCCCAGCATGCATCACCATGATGCGTACCGTACGGATACACTGAGGAGACTGCCCAGCAACCGCCAGCAGGGCCACTGAGTACCCCAAGTGCAACCTGAGGGATCGAGAATTCTCAGTAGCAATCCCCTTTGTTCCTATATAGTAGCTTCTTGCTCCTAGTAGTAAGGCCAGGAGCACCTAGTAGCTTCTTGTTCCTAGTAGAGATGCCCTTTGTTCCTAGTAGCGTCCTTGCTCCTATATCTCCGGCGCGAAGCACTCTCTATCTATCTATCTCTGTCTCTCTGTGGGCACGACGCAACGGCGACTTCGGCGTCCAATGATCCCTGCAACAATGGCGCAAGCAGAATGCAAAGCACAAGCAGAAAGCACAAACATGACACCAAGAGCGACCTCCTCGGCCAACAAAATGGCAACCCATAGATCCATGAGAATGCCGAGCCTAAGAGTGGTGGGGCCCTCCCTGGCTCTGGAGTCTGTGCCACATCTTCAAATTACTCTTTCTTCGAGTTGAGTTCATGTCTCCGTTCCAATCAGACTGGGCCCAAAACAGCGCTATGGCAATCAAACCTCGGCGATTCAGGATGGACGTTCTTTGAAAATCTCAAACCTAAAGAACACCTATTTTCGCCCCCCTATGAAACAAGAAGCTCCACGACTTCCGTGGCGCCAACAGCAAGGTGTTCGCGCCAATGGGGCAGCTTAAGTTTGGAGATGCCCTGTTGGAATCGACACCCCACCTCTGAAGAAGATAGAAGAAGTACATGAACAACGCTTTGAACAAATCGCAAACGCTTGTGAAGCATCCGGCAGTCTAAGCATGAAAAAGTGGAAAAGGAAGACTTTACCATCTGCTGTTGAAGTACAATGGGGCGCCAGTAGCGGTCAATTTCTCGCTGCGTAATCTTAAAAAAATGCGAGACGAGCGTTTTGCACCTCAAGGCTAAATTGGACCCCACTTGCGCACGACTGGAGTTCCGGAGTTCCGGGAGCAGTAGTTGTACTATCCTGTACTAAAGAATCCAAGCCTCTATACAGTATTTAATCCATCCACTTCAATCCACTGGGTGGACGTGTGCAACAGATCAGTCTTCTTTCATATTGCAACGCGCCTGTCAGATATTGCACCACAAGGCTGAGGCCTCTGCCACCAACCATCAGGATGAACTCCCGGTGGTTCAGCAGGCCTGGCACGTCCAGCCCTGCAAAAAAGAGCGAAGCTCCCACAAGATCGGAAGGAGACTGAGGTTGGCGCCGATGACGTTCTTCACCCATTTGCCTGGGACCAACTTGATTCACGACGAAGTCGAACAGTTCGAACAACAGACTAAAGATTTTCTTCTGTTTGAAAACAGGAGGCAGTAATGGTCATAGCGGCGAATTGGCTGGCGATACTGAAACGACCTGATGTTGGACAGGATCACACGCGACGTGAGATAGGCGGTACAACACAGTCTCAGTCTGACAAAGCAACCCAAGCAAACAGACCAAACACAGCACATCCATGTCATAAATTGTCGTTGTATTCGCTGCTCAGACATCTTGGCAAAAGACTTGTGGGCACGTTGCGGTAACCCCTGTCGCAACCATGTCATGAACTCCAATCCAAAAAATGTTCTTCCTGAACTAAGGCTACCTTAACCTGTGTTTTCTGCACCTCTTCGATGTCGTGGCTCACATTGCGCGTCCTCCTCAATGACCGGGGTCGGCATTGATACAGTACCTCGTTTTCATGGCGACGAAGCATTCAGCAAAAGCATGCAAAGCGACATGAGCCACATGTTTTCGCTGCGGGCACATCATGCACCCCAGAGTGATCAAAAACAAGACACCGAAGGTCGTGTAGAGTGCCACCTCCACGTAAATGCACACTCTAGGCCTTTATGCCCTTTCACAGAATGGTGGCCGAGGCCTCGTGCATTCCCGTTGCCCTGCAAATTATAGGGACCTGGATGAAAAACACACAGATTGCTCCCGCCACCTCAAAAACACATCACAAGAATGCATGAATGCACTGATGGCAAAAGGCAAACATAAAGGACTTCAGGATGGCACAGTCGAGGAAGCCAGAGCCTTATAAGTGGCTCAGAAATGTTTGACTCAAAGGGTCTGACTACACCCGATTTAGGCACAGGGCCGTTGGAAGAAACGGCTTCCAATCGATGCCGCAATAGACATATTCCATTTTCCTTGGGAAGCTCGCCATACTGCGCACAAACTAAAACATATGGAATTGGGCACCCAGACTTGTCCTCGGCAACCGACTGTTCATCGTCAGACTCAAGTTCTTCCTACACCCCAGCGCATTACAAGTAAATCTTCCTGAGACAACATGACCCAACTGGTTGGTCTTCAAGTCACGGTGCCCAAAGTCACAGTCGCGCCCTTCAATCACCTATCTTTAAAGGTCTAGTGGCAAATTCTCCCTTGAAACACTTGTCTTTCACATACAATTTGTCTCATACGCGGCGCCTCCTTAGCTTGTGTGGAGACAGCTGTCCTCGGCATATTGCTCAATAATCCGTAGCAAATCCAAGGGCGGAGACTTCAAACCATGGTACAAAAACCATCTTCATCCCTGCTCTGAGCGAGCGGCACAGTTGTCAACGTTTGGTTGACGGGCGAGGCGTCATTCCTGCGGTTTGCGCTCACTCATGATCCACTTGGCTGGTGCACAAACAAGCTGAAGCTGTCTGTCATGGCAGGTGCCATTAGTTGCATCATATGTTGGTACCTGCGCGAGAAAAACAAGCAGCAAACAAAGCACGCGTTTGCAAAATTGCGTCATCCTCCATATGTTACTCTGTTTCACAACAATGCTTTTCAGCAGATCTTGCAGCGGCACGGTGGACCATGGTCCCCCATATACACAGCCGGTGGAGGCTGCAGAGCCACTGCCGGCAGGTAGCCTAGGAAAGGGTTGGAGACAGGTTCCCTCACAGTCCTACTCCAAAAAGGTCAGTGGCAGAATGCAAAACATGGAATCAAAGCACCTGATACAATTATGCATTGGCACAGTAGGCGTGCCAGGAAGATTCAAGAGGGACATGGCTGTGTAACGCTGCATGTGTGTGTGTGTCAACCCCTGTTCCTAAGGGTTCCGCTTTTCTTTTCCACCACAACTGCAGGGGGATCAGGCTTCCAGTGACTAACCTGATCCAACGAAGCTGGGTCACTGGAAGGGAAGTGGTTGAGGACGCTCAACCATGTACCTGCTGAGTTTTCACCAGCTGGCATCCCAATTTCCCTTGTTTTGCTTCCATGGTGGTTAGCATGATACCTCCCCTAAACCCTTCTTTTGCCGCCGTCAGCTGCCGCGCGCGCCGTTCGCGGACTGCAGATGTGCACCAAACCATTGTTGAAACACCTTCAAGTCTCTTGGACTTTTCACCATGCCGTTCCCTCACCTTCCTTCTCAACGTGGGAGTTAACAGCCCCACCTTCCTTCTCAATGTCAGAGTGTGAACCGTCCCACTTGGGCGCTGGGCGCGATCCTCCGCAAGGAGGCGCTGCAATCATTCCGGAATTCGTGTCACTGATTCTTCGTTTCCACCACTCGTTGGATTCTCTTAACTGACTCCTGTTCACCTTGAATTAACTGCCTTTTGAGCCGCCGGGCTAATACGGTAAAACCCTTTTGATTACTGAATTTTCGGCATGTCATTTCATTGCGCGTTCATCTTTTCGGTACGCAGCTGACTTTTGAGTTTCAAGTGTGTACAGTCGCTCCACCTTCAGTCTCTCACCACAGATTTTCCACACATTTGACTCACCACCCGCAGATTTTTCATCTCATGAGTCTCACGCCATTTCACAATCACGTTTTCAGACACCTTTCAACTTTCGTTCGCTGCCGGAGCGCTGCGCGGGCGCCATTTTCTACGAACACAGCCCCAATCAATACCCATCCATACACATACTTGACACATCAATCGCCGCCTACAACAGCGCCGACATTTCCACTCCCACAGACGCAACCTCACATGCCTGCCATGATTTCGCACATGCCGGTAGTCTGCCACACTTCCCGCAGCCAACCTGGCCGCCTACAACTCAATTTCAACCACCACCACAACATTTACCTCAAGTACCACATCATCACGCCATTCCGTTTCCATACACACTACCTCCACAGGAGCCCATACCACCACATCCTCCAACCATGGTTCCCCCACAACAAGCACCTGCTTCGAACATTCAACCAACCCCACAGCAAGTATCGCAGCCAGCACCAACGCAACGGGACTACAACCAAGGAGTTTGGCAACCGTTCTCGGCCTTTCCACCAGTCAGCCAATGGGGGCAAGTTCAGCCAGGCCAAATTCCTGCAGCCGCCACCTCGGCCCCTTCCGACCCTTCTCACCTTACAGCAACACCTTCACCTCTCACTGCAGCGACCACTGGCCCACAGTCACCCGCCTCTACAGCACCGGAAGGCCATACCGCCACAACAGTTGACCAGACATCCTCTACCTCCACCGACCACACCTCCACCCACCACTCCAGCAGCTTTAGTTCAGTCAGACAACCCCAACGATACACGACCTTCCGCTCCACCACCTTCCCACCCAATGGTTTCAACACCACAACCACCGCCGCCACCCAAACCTCCCAGCCAACGCGGCCACCCCCGACACCAACACCGGCGCCACCGGCGTCACACTAGGGGCAGACGCACTCACCGCCACCACCGATCACACAAACACAAGCACCATTCATCGCGACACCACCGCTCGCGATCCCCTTCCCCTTCATCCTACTCTTCTTCTTACAGCAGATCACGCAGCCGCTCCAGACAACCCATCTCACTTCTCCCAAACAACGACTCACTGCCACCAGACGCTACCACGAACCAATCACAAACCAGCTATCCCAACATTCCAGCCCTCCGCCGGCCCGCAAAACCTTGGCGACCATCCACACAGTTCCAACAACGAACACCACAAGAACAGTTGGAACTTTGGCTTGACTATCACGCCGACCAACTCGACGCGCCCAACAAACCTCAACACACCTACGTCGCCAGCTATACTGGACAGTGGCCTCACATACAAGGACATCTCTGACTACCGACAATTCACTCACATCAAATGGAAT